ATAAACACAAAAGCATTAGCTAGGGAGTCAGAACACCTGGGTTTTGGGACGAGCTTTGCTACTCAACTTGAATGTGACCCCTGACAAGTCCCTCTTCTTCTTTGGTCCTTGCTTTTCCTAAGGTAAGTGGCCTCAGTTATTACCCAGGCTTTTTTTCCCCACATCTATCATCCTAGATTATTTTATCCTCCATCCCTTTGTTGTTGTCCTCGGGATTTGGACATGGTGCACATTCAACCAGCCTTGGATGCGGGCCATTCTTTGGAATCTCGTAGATGTCTAGTCCTTTTTCTCAGACATGCTTTCCCCTGCTATATAGATTTTGTCTCCTCCTTACTTTGGGGGTAATTATCTCACTCATCTTAAATTTTAGTGGTCCTACTGCTGTCATTTTAGATGTCTTCCAACCAACATCTCCTCCGGGCCATCACTGTGGTGTCCCTTCCATACATCAATCTCATTTTGTTCTCAGCACACTTTCAGCATTATGTATAGCCCCCCTCTCCCCAATGTAGTTCCTACAGAGAGACGACCACATCAAGGACCAGAGGCCAGAGGAACAGGTCCCTTTTTTTTTTTTTTTTTTTTTTGAGTTGGAGTCTCACTCTGTTGCCCAGACTGGAGTGCAGTGACCGCTCCCGGCCACCGCAGCCTCGACTTGCTGGGCTCCGGCGATCCTTCCGCCTCAGCCTTCCGAGTAGCTGGAACTACAGGCATGCGCTACCACACCCGGCTGATTTTTGATTTATTGTGGAGATGAGGCCTTGCTTGCCCAGGTGGGTCTCGAACCCGCAGGCTCTGGCAATCCACTCAACTCAGCCTCCCAAAGGCATGGGATTACAGGCTGAGTCAACAGGTCCCTTTTTAAAAAATCTCATCTGGCCAAGCGCTGTGGCTCATGCCTATAATCCCAGCACTTTGGGATGCTGAGGCAGGCGGGAGAATTGCTTGAACCCAATAGTACGAGACCAGACTGGGCAACATAGATAGTAACACCTTGTCTCTACAAAAAATTAAAAAAATAGCCAGGCATGGTGGCACCCATCTGTAGTGCCAGCTACTTGGGAGACTGAGGTGGAAGGATCTTCTGAGCCCAGGAGGTTGAGGCTGTGGTAAGCCATGATTGTGCCACTGCACTTCACCCTGGAAGACAGACTCCAACTAAAAATAAAATAAAAATAAAAAATCTCATCTTAATGAATTTCATCATTCCTTGTAATCATCTTTGTCTTCAACAGTGACATTTACAACTTGGCATCTTATTTCATAATTATACAAAACGATAACTTTCTAGACAGGTGCCTGCATCCCAGTGTAGGCTGTGTAGGGGGCTTTTGACCTCCCTGAATATAAAGGGGTATCCTCCCACCTCAGTTGTTTTTTATAGGTGTGAAGGGGTCACTTTGTGCTAGAGTTGCTGCCTTTTTTCTTCCTAGTTAGTTACCTTGGTTGGTGAGGCCCCTCCTGAAGAAACTGTTAACAACTTTAAGCAGGGTGCTTAGGAACGAGGGTTCCCCAAGGGTGCTGTAGGAGCAAGGAATTGTAAATAATATGAAAGCATGTCAAATTCCTGTGTCTTAGGGTTATGTATGACCTTTCTGGGTTTATTCTCAGCCAGTCCTTAAAGGGCAGGGAAAGCGCTCAGGCTTATTGAGGCGTATGTTAAGATAGGACTAGAGTTCTGCCAAAATGAAGGAGACGGGTTTCATCTGGAAGCATCTGATGTCCCTGAGCTCTGCCTGCCCAGCACATCTCCATTCTCAAGGAGCTTCCTCTAGAAGGGTGGTGAGATGGGCATGCAAGTAGCAGTGGCGAGAGGTAGGCAGGCGGCCATGTGGGGAGCATAGGGCAGGACCCCACGACTTCTGCAAGGCCTGTCTAGGTGTTCAGGCAACTCCTTGTGGAATCAATAGGGTTTAGATGACCTTGAAAGACCAAAGAGTACATGTAGTGGCTGGTAGGCTTTTGATGAAGAATGATGATTGATGGACTGACTAAATGAGTGGCCTCTCTGCTGTCAGGAGTTTCTTTAATCTTAGTGGAATCATCATATGTTCCTTAAATTTCCCTCCCTTAAATTCCACATTTGGCCAGCTTGTTGTTTTGCTCCAGAACTGTTTCTCAAGGTCTTTGGCTCTTCTGCATGTTCCTGGGGCCCTGGTGTGGGTAACTGCAGAGCTAAATCTTTCTCCCTGAGCTCTCTGGGGGAAGAAAGGGAACCCAGCTCCAATACTCACTTGTTGTGTGATCTTGGGCTGTTGTTTTTGACCTTTCTAAGCCTCTGTTTCTTCATCTAAAAATAGGAATCACTCTGCTTAACATATTGGGCAGTGATGAAAAATAAGCTATTGCTGTGCAATGCTGGACACCTAAAAACCACTCAGGAAAAGGATGCTTCTATGTGGCCATCGTTGATGTTATTGGAAATGCTCCCTGGGGCCATGAAGATGAGGTCTCCCCTCCTTTCACAGTCCTGTCAGTACCACAAAAACCACTACCATGCACTCACTCTTGGCCTCCACCCTCCTTATCAGCAGAACCTGAGATGATGCGGCTTCTCTGCTGGGGATGGTGGCCACCTCCTGTCTCTGTCTCATCGAGGCTCTTCCTTGCAGAAGAGCTGCCTGAGACTATCAACGTGACCTTGGGGTGCAGGAGATGGATGAGAAGGAAGGAGAGAAATGGCCAGAGGGGTGTGTGTGCCTGACCCTTGATGACCCATTATGACTTCTTAATGGCTACAGGTTTCATTCTTGGATATTCTTTCCTGGGACACAGTGTCCGTCCCTGAGGTCACCATCTGGTTCTTGCCCTCTGTTCCTCAAGACTGCCTCTGAGAGCAGCAAGTGTTCTGAGGACCTGCCCTATGGCCTGTCTCTATTTTTTACCCCTCGGTTTAGGGCAGGTTTCCAGGAGACCAGTAAACTCACCATGAGGGAATCTTGACATCCAGACCCCCAGGTTATCAATTTTCCTGATTTCTGGGTCTTTGGATTTTTTTTTTTTTTTTTTTGAGTCAGTGTCTAACTCTGTCATCCAGGCTGGAGTGCAGTGGCATGATCATGACACACAGCAGCATTGACCTCATGGGCTCAGGTGATCCTCACACCTCAGCCTCCCTAGTTCAGGCTGGGTCTCGAGCTCCTGGGCTCAAGCAGTCCTCCCACCTCGGCCTCCCAAAGTGTTGGGATAACAGGTGTGAGCCACTGTGCCCAGCCTTTGATATTGTTATTGCTGCTTTTAGGTGCAGGAAGGAAAGCAATCATTTTACTCTACGCACGTCGGGTACCAGCATGAAGGCAGCAGACCCACTTTCCTGAACCCTCTTCCCATGAATGCTTGAGAAGCCTTGCTCTGGTGCCCTCTCAGTGTCCTCTGGCCTGAGTGGTTGGATTCTCATCTACTGTGACTTTTTTTTTTTTTTCTAGAAAAGCCATGTAGAATGTCAACTAATGTATTGTTTCTGCGTCACCAAGAAAAATAGAAGAAACAAATGAATCAGTTTTTCTTGACTCATGAGCTGTGATTTCTTCATAAACGAATCTAGAGAATAGCTACTGAATTTCACAAACATTCCTGAGTGTTTACTGAATGCCAAATCCTGCACTATGAGCTGATAGAGGCCAAGATGCCAAAGATGTGGTCCCTGTCCTCAGAGGGCTTCCTTCCCTCAGAAAGCCCTGTGGGTGGGTGGGCAGGCGGACAGGGAAGAAAAGATGAATAAAGAGTGAAGGGGTGAGTCCTGATGTCCTAGAGTGGTCATGGGCATTACTTCACCCCTCCATACATGCCCACACTTCAGGGCCTAGCCCCAAACGCCCTCCTCCATGAAGTCTTCTCTGACTGCTTCAGGTCTTAGTGAATTTCCTATTCTCCAGAGCCTGGATTCCTGTAGGACTCTATATCCTATAATACATTTCTCACACATTATCTCGTCTTCTCATCCTCACAGCCTCTCAAGGCACAAGTCATGGATATCATTCCCATTTTAACAAATGAAACAACAGATTCAGAGAAGTGAAATAACTTTCCTAGGGTCACGGAGTTCAGCAGCAGCAAACCTGAAAACTGAACTCATGTGTTCTGATTCCCAGGCCAGGGTCCCTTGGCACCAAGTGCTTGCTTGCTCTACTACATCATTGAATCCCGGGCACCCCCTTTATGGAGCTCCCACAGCTGCTTTTCCACTTCATGCTTCAGCACCAGCTCCTCCCTTTGAGTCACCCATGTCTCTCCTCAAGGACAGGGCCCCAGTCAGCCTGGGGTCTGACCCCTCCAGGCACCCACATTGCAGAATCTCAGCCAGGCTGTTCTGGGTGAAGCAAGAAGGAATGACCTTAGCCAATGTCTCCCTCCTCCTCTTCGACCCTGGAGTCATCTGGAGGCACTAGAAGCCACCAGCTCCTAAATGCCAGGTAATTGTGAGACTCACTGTGTCTTTCAGTGGATTAAAAACGTGACAGCATCTGCGTTTTTCAGCTGTTTCTCTCTGGGTCAGCATCTTCACCCAACACATATCTGGGTTTATAGAACATACTGATAAGGGTCTAAGACCATATTGTTTTTTTACATCTTTCTTTTGGGGTTATTTGCCACCTGTGCTCCAGAGAGGAGACACCTGGATACCTTGAGTTTTATGTAGCGTGTCCCTATAATGTATTGTCCACATTAGATACTTCTGGGAGTAAAATGGTGCACTATTAGCAATCACATCAGGACAGCGGGCCTAAATTGGAGCATATGGTCACCTGGTTTTAAACAAAATTAATGTGTCTGCCGTTGGAAGTGAAGATATGGGGTAGCTATTTGTGATGATTTTTAGAGCGGAAGGGGTTGGTGGCAAATGAAAGGCTTTTGTTTCCAGTGGTAACGATTCATCATTTAGTGACAACAAAATTCATCCAGTGAATTTTTCTGTACCCTCCACTTCATTTTCTGTCAATGGCCAAGCCTCACAGGATTGTGTTTGTATCTTATTGTTGTCTTTTTCTTTCCTCCAGAGATCCTGCGGATCATTCAGCTGGACCTGGACCTAAAGTATAAGACCAACATCCGGGAGTTGTTTGAGGAGTTTGACAATTTCCTACCAGGTGCCATCATCGGCATAGCCCGAGAAATGCAGCCCGTGTACAGGTATGTCGTGGCAGTAGGGGCTACCTCCATGACCCCTCGGGCCTTCACTTTTTCTATAAGTGTGCAATCTTTTTGCACTTAGTGTCTTGAGAGCACATCGGTACTCACTGCTTATAGTTGCCAGTATGGGTAAGAAGGTCCACTCCCAAGTCTTAGGTACTGCCTCTTTATTTTGGGGGAGTTTGTGACATTTTTCTTCTGGAAAGCCCAGTTGTTTTGGTTGTTGGTTCTGGTTAAGCTCAGAACTTTAAAATCTTGGACTTTGTTGTACAGAGGAAATATCAGGATTTAACTTCCATCCTAGTGATCAATGGGGCTTTCTTGGCCTCTGAGTCACCAGTGACCTATATTCTATATGCAGAGCAGGTGGATTGATGGTTTTGTAAGGAGGGAAGGCAGCACAGCTTTGGAACTCAGGTTGGCATCATGTAGTCTAGGTGAAGAGGTACATTCTACATTATGCTGTGTTGTCAAGTATGTACCGTGGAGAAACTCCAGCACCTGAGAACCAGGAGACATGTTCCAGAATTTTCCCTGCAGTATTATTTGTGGTAGCCAAAAACTGAAAACAACTTAATTGTACTATTCAGCAGAATAAATAAAATGTCTCCCTGTAGTTGAGTACTGTACTGCAGTAAAAATGAGCAAATAGTAGCTACGTGCAATGCCAGGCAAAACGAAACTGTACTCTTGAGGGATGCAGACCCAGTGCTAAAAATTATCAGGAAAACCAAGGAGATGGTGATCTCCAGTGCCAGCATGTGGGGGTAAGAGGCATGGGGGGTTGCCCATGGAGAGCTACAAGACTTTATTTTTCCATTCATCTCCATTGGTTATGCATGTGTTTGTATGGGTACTATATGTATTACAACTAAGAAAGATAAAACAAAGAAAGGAACAGCAGAAGCAGATTTTTGTTAAAACTAGGCCCATAGCTCTGGGTCCAGAGAGTTCTGCGTTGCTGACTCCTCCTCTAGTGGGCAGAGCGATAGCTTACCCAGAGCCCAAGCTGCCCAAGTTTTCTCTGAAGGAGCTGGGATTTCGCTGCCCCATGGGCATGCCCACTCTTTGTTCTCAGTGCAGACCCTAATGCTGGCTCCCTGAGGACAGTCTTGGAGCGAGGCCCAGTCCTTGGAGAGCTGCAGGGCACAGGCAACGAATGACTCGAGAGTGTTCATTTTCCCTGTGAAGAAGAGGAAAAAGAGACAGCCTCAGCTTGGCTGTGGCTATTTGCATGACCCAGCTCACATAACAGGAAATTCCTGCAAGGCCTCTGAATGAGCTGATAACTCCTTGGGCCTTGTGGACTGTTGTCCCTTACATAATCCTCTCACACATTGCCCAGAGTCCCTGTGCAGGCCTCTTCCTCTGCCATGGGGGGTCAAGGGGAGAGGGTTTGGGCACACACCTGCCATCCTGACTGCAGCAGATTCCCTGCCTCCTTCCCTCACCGTCATACAAGAGATCTGTTATGCTGGGGTCCTTTATCTGATGAAGGGTAGTGATGGAAGGAGCCTTAAACAGAAAGTCCCAAGCCCTAGGTGCTCGTCCCAGCTTTGCCACTGGGCTTGGGGCCTTGATTTCCCCCACCTGAGAAGGGAAGCAGGTGAGGTCCAAGGCCTCCCTCCTCTAGCTCTGACTTGAGGGGGTCACAGCTCTTCTGACCCTCATTATCTTCCTCCCTCCAAAAGCTGCTTGTCTGTTGGTGAGCTCCTTAGGGATCTGGAGGTGTCCCTGGGGTGTTTAGACTGGACTAATTATTAAATGCTGTTAGAGCACTGATGCCTTCAAGCCCTGAGATGGAATCTTTTCTCGTAATGTAAGTGGAAACTTGGAAGCCTCATCACACTTAATTTAAACACTACTGGCCAGAATTTATATTTTCTATAGATCTAGTATTGTATAAACAGTACAACTTAAATCAGTTTAATTGTCTGGACTTCCCAAAAGAAGTCTCTGAAAGATTTTAGATTCAAAATGCAATTGAGTTTTTCTCACCTTTAGCATCTTTAATTACCATTTTGTAAGATGAGAGTAATGGGCCCTTTGCTGCTAGTGGAGTCTCAAGAATCCTGTTTGTAGGGCTTGGGCACTCCAAAGTCAACAAGAATGCATATTCCTTTATTTGCTCCCTCCCCCAGTGTCCCCCCAACTGAAATGTTTCTAAAGACCTTTAGTAATGAAGTCTACACACGCCTGCCCTGCACAGCAGTGCGCCCTGCTGGCTCTGGGGAATTGCCTTTTAATATCTGCAGTTTCGTGCTGGGGCCAGGAATGGCTTGCTGCTGGCTGGTGGGCAAGGAATTGACCGTGGTTTTTGCCTTCTTTCACAGAAACCTGGAGGCTCCAGTGACCTGGCAGATCCATTGTCTGCTGCTTTGGAGTTCTCACCTGGCTGGCAGGGGGCCTGGGGTGGGGAGATTGAGAGATGAAAAGGATGGGAATAAAGGGAGTGAAGAAAAGGTGCTCAAGCAGGGGCAGACAGAGCTGGCCCCTCTCTTGAGCAGGCAGTCTTAGTCCTGCCGCCTTGGGCCTGGCTGTCATATTTGTGGGAGACCAGCAGCCCAGCCGTCTGACTGCTGCCCACAGAGGCGGTCACTGCCCGAAACCCTGGGGGGAACTGGCAGTGGGCTCCCATAGCCAAGCGGTCTCCCTGGGTGGTGAAGTGAGGTGGACATGTGTTTTATTGTAAGTGAATCTGCTGGCATCTACGAGAAGGAACAAAACAAAACAGCACAAAACTAAAACTTGACTCATTAAATAGGCACATTTTGATCTGGAAATTCACTGAGCAGAAATAGATTTGGATCTCCCCAGCTGGGCCATTTTTATAGTCACTTGTCCTATAGTTACTGTACTTCAAAAGGGCACATTTTAAGTCTTTTTTTTTAATGGCCGTTTCCTCTCTATTGTGTGTCACGAATGTTGGAAGCTTGGTGTGGAGGGAGAAGTGTTTTCTACTGTCCATTTGACAAATAGTGGTTTTTTGGTGTTTTTTTTTACAACATTCCCCTCAATTGTACACCAAACTGAACACATTTTCTAGGAAATGATTGTGGGATAGGATGGTGATAGAGGAAACTTTCTCTCCTGGGTCCCTGTTAAGATTCGTCGGAGTCAAATATTCCATGACTTTCCCTATCTGAAAATCGTCAAGCCATGGTCATCTTGGGTGGAACATTGCCCTTCCTTTCTTTGATCCTTTATCTGCCTCTTCATGAGGAACTGAACCCCTGGGCAGGTCCTCAGTGGTGATGTATTTACTTGAGATAAGTGAACAAACAGAGAAGAGTGTAGTGCCTTCTCCGTAAGTAGATAACTGTATTTTGTGAATATGTGCCAGATAGAATTTGCTCCCTATGAGTGTGTTAGGAAAGAAAACAAAACTGTTTGGGCCCTTTTTCTGTGCATCCTATAAAAATTATAAATATGTATCATCAGGCAAAGCAGCTTGACGTAGAAGCAATAGCATCTAATTGTCCTCAGAAGTGAATTGCCTGTTGACACTTTGCAAGTCACTTTATTCTTTGACCCTTGGTTTTTTCATCTGTAAGTGGGGATACATATATCCAATGCACAGAATGACTGGAAAACTCAGATGAGATAACACACGTGGAAATCTCTGGTGTGAGAGAGACCCTCAGTAAAGACATTTCCTCCTCCCTTCCCTCCCTCAATTCCTTAATTTGTTCCTAACCCTGCTCTACCCCTCCCCCAGCCATCTGGGGTTGCCAGTTAAAATGCAGGACACTCAGTAAACTTCAAATGAGCAACAAATAATTGTTTTACATAATAAAGATGTCCCAAATTCTGTGTGGGACATACTTATACTAAAAAATTATTTGTTGTTTGTCTGAAATGTAAATTTAACAAGCTGTCCTGATTGTTTGTTTTGTTTTATTTTGTTTTTTGATCTGGCAGCCCACTCCTACTTAAGATTTTCCTTTAGCAGAGGCAAGTGGTCTGACTTTCCCATGAGATCTTAGAGTGCACAGAAACAAAGGATACAGAAGTGGAGCTTGTGAGGGAAACCCAGGTGAGAGAGCGAGGGACAGGAGGTAGCCCTCATGAGGCACTCGGTCTGAGGTCACCACTCTGCAGGAGCTAGGAAGCCAAAGTGGCCTGGGTCACATGGGAGGCCACTGAGGCCCGGCTTCAGGCCACAGGACTCCTGCTGACCCTGGAGTCATTAAGAGAGAGAATGTGTGTGTGTGTGGGGGGGCGGTTGTTGAGGAGCTGGGGCTGCAGCCCTTAGTTATGGTCACTTTGTCCTGGGGCCGGCCGCCTGAGGAGCCTCTGAATGGGAGCTTGGTGGTGGGGGCAGCGGGCTTCCGGTTTCATCCTCTCTGAGCTCTGCAGGCCGGCTGTGAGCCAGTGCAAGCTCAGAGCCATCATGAGCTGCAAGCAGCAGGCTAGTCCTGTCAGCTACTGATAACACACCACCAGGCTGGAATTCGCATTTGTGGTAGGTATTTTAATAGTGTCCACTCCTCACCTTTTTAGGTCACATTTTTTGGTTTTTTATTTTATTATTTATTTATATATTTTTGGCAGCGTTATGCCAGCCTAGCTTCCTTCCAGATGCTTAGAATGAAACTGTCCTTCCAGCTTCTCCGCAGGTTGCCTTATCCCACTCTTAGGACTGGTGCAGGGCTCTTAGGGGAGTGCTGGGGAGAAAGTGAGGACCAGCACAGAGACAGGAAGTGAGAATGTTAACTGGCCCCTACCTCTGCCACTTAGTTGCTGTGTGACTTTGGGCAAGTCCTTTGACCTCTCTGAGCTTCATTTTCTTAAACTGAGAAGTAGAGATTATAACACTATATACAGTATATAGCAGAGTTGAGGAGGAGATTAAATTAGACAACGTGATTGGGCTCAGTGGCTCAGCCTATAATCCCAGCACTTTGGGAGGCCAAGGCAAGTGGATTGTCTGAGCCTGCGGGTTCGAGACCCACCTGGGCAACTTGGCGAGACCTTGTCTCTACAATAAATCAAAAAAT